AAAGGGCGAGCATGTTTGGTGTGACGGGGATTCGAACCCGCGACCCACAGATTGCGAGTCGAGCGTCCTAACCACCTGGCCATGCCGGGCCAATATTGTTTACAAGCGTGATCTGATCAATAATGTTAAGCCTATTACATAGGAAATTACTTTCATCATCCGTTTTATTCTACTACCTGTCTCCCCTCTGAAAACCTAATGAAGTATCTCCCATTCACGTGAAATACAATTATATGGTAACAGTTCTTGCACTTCTCCATAACAGGCAAGTATCTTTATTTCTGACTCAATTGAAGAATGTTTTATGACCATAATGCCTTGTTAAATTAATTATAAAACACATTATTACATTAATATAAGACAACTTATTTGAAACGATATCTTATTTTTCTTAAGCCAAAAGATATAATCAGGTTTTTATAAAAGTACAATTACTAAGACAAACTTTCGATTGCCCATGACTTCTTATTTAAGCTTACTCTTAATCAAAATGTTGCGGTTTTTGAATCAAAATTGTGGAAAAAACGTTCCTTTTGTCAGTCAGGAGACAGAAGGTCTTTCGATCGATAACAGAACTCGTCAGTTTAAGCGGAAGGCAAAAGAAATATATCTGTATGCAGTAAGAGAATTTATCATTTTCCGGTCGCTCAGTGATAAACGTCAGGTCTTATAACAATAAAAATAAGAAGTTCGATTCCCGAAGCATACACAGCTCAGATTGTGTAACTTTACGTTAAACAAACCTGTCAAACTTACATTTATTCGGGTTATCAAATCCTTAGTTTTTTTTGCCAATTAAGGCACTTAAAATCACCACATTACTTCTCTGTAAACCTTCAGGCATTTACAAAAACAAAAACACGTCCGTACATCTATATGATTAACTGACCAACGTATTTCAAAAGTTGATATTACTTGTTCTAATATTTTTTCATTTTATAACAGACTTTCATATATTTTTGTCTTATAAAACATTTTCTAATAAACTTCAGATATATATATTCCCATAACTGTAATCAAACACAAAGAGTTCTCGTATTTTCTTATTACATGTTTTACTTAGAAACGAACAGTAGTATCTCCTTGACATCACTAACCAAGAAAAAAATATATAAATAAAAGGAAATACAATGATAATTGGCCCGGCATGGCCAGGTGGTTAAGGCGCTCGACTCGTAATCTGAGGGTCGCGGGTTCGAATCCCCGTCACACCGAGCATGCTCGTCCTTTCAGCCGTGGGGCCGTTATAATGTGACGGTCAATACCACTATTCGTTGGTAAAAATATAGCCCAAAAGTTGGCGGTGGGGGATGATGACTAGCTGCCTTCCATCTAGTCTTACACTGCTAAATTAGGGACGGCTAGCGCAGATAGCCCTCGTGTATCTTTGCGCGAAATTCAAAACAAACAATGATAAATAATAAGAACCCATAACATAATGAGGAAAGTGCAGGGTTCTACAGCTTTCATTCTAAGCCATTTATCGTTGTTATTACTGTTCACTGTTTCTAAAAGAGACTTTAAGATATGTTTTATTATATCCAGGATAACACGTTCACACCTTAAAATCAGGCTAAAGTTTCTTTTTAGAGCAACTTACCCATAACCAACAAGTACGTTATACTTTTAATTAAAACCTGTTATTAGTATTTGTTCTTGTTTGAAAAATGATATTTCAGAGAGTAAGCTAAACTTACCTCTATTTGATCCAGCTTCGGGTAGATCTCAAATGTAATAAAAGTATCAAGGTTCTTTTCCTAATAATGAACTCTAACTTTTATTTCTCAGTCCAAGCCCCCCAGTGGAACAGTGGTATGTCCGCGGACTTACAACGCTAGAAACCGGGTGGGCAGAGCACAGATAGCCCATTGTGTGGCTTTGTGCTTAACTTCAACCAAGTAAACAAACAAATTCTCAGTCTGAAATTACGAGTTTAACTAAACTATAATCAAATTATTTGTTATTTTATAGTTTTAGTTGCAATTTTTTTTTGAAATAAAACAAAACAATAGTTATATTTTTGGTACAAATTTCTAAAATAACTTGTTATTAAAACAAAACAATAGTTATATTTTTGGTATATAATAACAAGTTATTTTAGAAATTAAACAAAACAATAGTTATATTTTTGTTATATAATAACAAGTTATTTTAGAAATTAAACAAAACAATAATTATTTTTTTGGTATATAATAACAAGTTATTTTAGAAATTAAACGAAACAATAGTTATATTTTTGGTATACATAATAACAAGTTAGTTTAGAAATAAAGCATGGTTACGTTTAAACATTAAAAAAAAACGAATGGCTTTTAAAACGTATTTTCCAAAAAAAAAAAAGGTTTAAATTATAGTTTCAATTATCTCGGCCATTCTAAAGTTTAGTCTCCCGATGGGACAACGGTTAGTTTACGGACTTACAACGCTAAAACCTGCGGTTCGATTCCCGCGTTGGACACGGCAGATAGCTCAATACGGCCTTTGCTCTAAAACAAATAAACAGTTCTAAAGTTTATATTTTCCTTGGATCGAAATTATCTTTTTTTTTCCCTTTGCACAGGTTGCTAAACAAAATAAATACTCCTGTTCTAAGAAATTTGCAACTGTTGTTACAATTCACACACTAATATATTTTAACGATTTGCAACTGTTATTACACGGACTTGTACAGTTCACACACTAATACATTTTAACGATTTGCAACTGTTATTACACGGACTTGTACAATTCACACACTAATATGTTTTAACGAATACATACTGAAATTATGGTTGATAAAGAGCTTCAGGGTATTATCACTCTTTATCAAGAGCTTCGTGGTATTATCACTCTTTATTTATTTGACTAGCTAGAATCATCGTCTAAAGTTACCGGTCTGTAGAGAGGTGGAGTACCTCAGTAAATTAAGACAGATAACTGTGTTGCTAGAGGTTTCCACGTGATGATGAATATTAAATAAAAGCAATCATTTAGATATAACGCTTTACATTGTCATCAGAGCAAGACGATGATGGGCAGTTTAATTACTTATGCTCTGAAAAATGTTTATATTGGTTTAAACATAGCTCTACTTCTTACACAAAACAACCAATAGAAAAACAGGAACATATTATTTTTTGTACACCAATAATGTCTTATATTTTTTCAGACAAGATAGATAGATACATAGATCAACTGATAGATAGATAGAATTACCTGTAACTGAACATCAGATAAAATTACTGAAACTTTAAGATTATAACATTTTCCAATGGAATTCTAAACAATAAAAATACAGAACAAGGCCCCCCCAATGGCACAGCGGTATGCCTGCGGACTTACAACGCTAGAAACCGGGTTTCGATACCCGTGGTGGGCAGAGCACAGATAGCCCTTGTGTAGCTTTGTGCATAATTAAAAACAAACATACAGAACAAAATAAAACGTTCCAAAAAATGGAGAGAACTGAAGAAATGTATAGAATTATTCATAATAATTAATAATACTGGTCATCTTATCATCAGGGTAGATGTTTCAGCTACTACACTTTTTTAATGGTGATCTTATCATCAGGGTAGATGTTTCAGCTACTACACTTTTTTAATGGTCATCTTATCATCAGGGTAGATGTTTCAGCTACTACACTTCTTTAATGATGATCTTATCATCAGGGTAGATGTTTCAGCTACTACACTTTTTTAATGGTCATCTTATCATCAGGGTAGATGTTTCAGCTACTACACTTTTTTAATGGTGATCTTATCATCAGGGTAGATGTTTCAGCTACTACACTTCTTTAATGGTGATCTTATCATCGGGGTAGATGTTTCAGCTACTACACTTCTTCAATGGT